TACCAAAGAACTGATTTTAGTTTTCTCTCCAATAAATTTCCCAAACATTTTGTCTTCTATTCTGTTTCATAAATGAAAATTTTAAATTGGTTTGAAATGGCAATTGGTGATTCACTGAAAACTTAAGGCGATACAGAAATAGCAACATTAGAAGAGACAGATTGTGTGTCCTGTTTAGAATTTAAAAGCAAATTCAGTCCTGATGAAGATTTAGAAAACCATGTACAGCCATGACATTTTTCATAGATAAAATTTTCAATTTCAAAAGACTGCTTTCAAAAAACTATTATTTAAGTTCACGTAGTGTTCACTGCCATTCAGAAAGATGGTAGTAAACAAATAGGTTCCTGTTGTCGTTTTGTTTTTTGCCAAAGCAATAGCAGTCTCTTTTATGTCACAAACTAAACTGACTCCGAAACAAAGAAGTAATTTAATGGGATTCCCAAAGCATGTCAATCTAGATTAACCCTGTGGCAGCTCCTCTTTATGGTGTATTTAGTCTCTGGAATAATGAATTTCTGGCCAAGAAACTTATAAAACAGATACTATTTGTAATACTATAAAGGTTTACTTTTATTTCAGCCATGTTTGTTTACAAGATGGAGAAGGCATGGGCTAATAGCTTTGCAGGATGACAGAACTGTGAAACCTTGAGAAAGTTAATTTATCTAAAAGTGCCTCAGAATTTCATCTATAAAGGAGGATACATCAAACACTTACAGGGTGGTTATGATATAATATATGTAAAGTAGGCACCACAACAAAATGGTTAAGAGCAAGGGCCCTGCAGGCAGACTGTGTCCCATGAGAGGTACAAATCTTGTTAGTTTTGTTGACTACCGCACTTTTAGAATTTAAAATGGTTCCTAGCACATAGTATGTGCCAAATAAACATGTGCTGAATAAATGAAATCAGAGTAACCTGGTTTTGTCAATTCTTGGTTATATGATTAGGGACAAGTTACTTACCTCTAAAAGCCCCAGTTTCCTAAAGTGAGAATTAAATGAGCATAGTGTAAATGCTTAATATACTAGCTACTATTGTTAAGGTAACCTGAACACAGTCTAAAAAAAGTAGGTACTCAATATGTTGTAACTATTACTACTAATTTGAATTTACAACTAAATACTGTCTATTTTAAAAGATAATCTGAGGATGATGTTATGAGTTTAAAAAAGTACTGGTTATAAACAACATTATGTATTTGAAAGTCTTTTTAAAATTGCTAAACATGAAACATTGCTAATGCTTTAAAGCATGTTTAGAAAAGTGCATTCACTCACAATTTAAAATTGTTATTTAGAAATACTTTCTCAGATATTCACTTTTTCCCATTAAATATCATTGTAAAGGATAAAAGCAATCTACCTTTATTATTCATCAAAGAAAGCAGTTCTGGGACTATGGGAAAGTGGTTGGCCCACGTGTTCAGTATTGAGAAGAAAAGCAACAAAAAGCACTCATCTTCTAAACACAGAGTTTGTAAAATACTGAGACATATAAACATATAAACTATTTTGCAACAGAGTCAATCACTGACCATTTAAAAACACTATCACATAGAAGACTAAAAATTGAAATTACTTGTTACCTTAATTCAAAACCCACAGTGTTTATATATGTGTGTGTGTGTGTGTGTGTGCATTTTTAAAATACATACTTAACTTAATATTTCAGCATAGGTAGAGTTCCCTTCTTCCACACAGAAATATGTATAGAAATATATATATAATATATATAAATTTTATACACAGAATCACGGAGTCCTTCTCTTTTGTTTTATTTTCTGTTTTATCATGATCTTTATTTCAGTAAAGAGTAATGAGGGGGTTTGACCTACCTGGGAGACTTTCATTATTCTAACTCTCGCAATATTTGTACCAGAGGGAAGTTTTTACTGATGTCAGCTCTCTTTACCTCACAAATCTAATTTTCCTTCTCTTTTCCTTTTCCTTCTGTCTGTTTTACTTCATTCTTAGCATACTCTACCTTCCCTATTTATCTTCCTTCTTTACCATGACTTTGCTTCAGTAATGCAAACTTTTATATTACAAATTGTATTTGTTTTATACGTTTTTTTGGCCAGAAATCCTGGGACACATCCTGGCTTAGTCCCTAAGAAAGTCCTTAGTGCCCCACCATGCTCCCTGTTCTGCTCTACCTGACTGTTCCAAGGAGCTTTTATAGTAAACAGTTTACTCACATAGGAATTCATTGTGATATCAACAGCAAAGGTACTGACAGATCAAAGACAGTGGGTTCAAATGTTGATTTTGTCAAATGTAGTTAGGAAGGAAAGGGCAAAGAGTGAAAGCAGTCAGGAGAACATCAGTAAAACTTGAGAGGAGAGTAAAGCAGAGTGAAATGTAGGCAGAGAGAAAGAAAACTGCAGTGGGTTGCAACGGTGTGGAAATGAGGCACCAGATGAAAAAGACACTGACCCCTCCCAGCTCTGTGATACTTGAGCTCACACTGAGTCTTGAGATTCAAAGTAACCTTTGTGAAGGAAGGAAGCATCCAGCTCAAACTGGTCTGGGATGAAGGGTGGCGTGGGGATGCCTCCTTTCTGTGGAATAACCTCTTCAGGCAGGCCATGGGCCCCTGCCTCCTCAGGTCATCACCTTCCCATCACACTCCATTCCGCCCCCACTCCAGGCTTCTGCACTGTCCACTGGGATGAGTCTATCTCAGCATCAGCTTTCTCACCACATATGAAGTGGCCTGCTCTTTTTTTTTGTCCTAATTTTCCAAGTCAAACTATCTCTGCACCTAATACTATCCATTCATGTTTTCCTGCAACAAAAGAAAGAAGATAAATAAACAAAACTCTCTGCTTGTCTTTCAAAAGCACCAATGATCTAGCAAAATGAAAACTAAGCTATTATTTCACAGGATTCACCAACTAACACCTACTTCCCTAGTGGGGTCAGGAGGCTTCTCACTATCCCTAACATACCCAAGGCTTGGGTCTTTGTAATGACTCTTCAGATCCCTGGAATGCACTATCTACATATTACCAACTATTCAATCTGTGTTATTTCGCCTTCCTCATGATGCCTCCTTTTACTACTTCAGTCTATGCTAAGCATGTCCTCTGAATAGCATCACAAAATTCAGAAATCATTTATTAATGCTTTACTCTCTCTTCCCCAACTTGAAAATAAATTTAAGAGCAGGGACAGATCTTTTGAATCTTTGAATGCTGGCACTGGATGACTGACTAAAATTATATGAACAAAATAATTTTGGTACAGTCTCCCAAGTGCTGACAAAGTCTCATCATTTACTATACATCATTAGCACGACTTCTGTCTCCCCAAATCCCTTTTCTTCAGAATCCCCAAACCTGACACTTATTAGAACAAAACAGGTTACTTTATAATCACAAAGAAAGAAGTTTTTATAACTGCATTATTGGAAATATTATAAAGAAATAGTTATTTAATCAACTCATCATGCTGGTTTTCTTTTATTATTTCGACATAGCCCTGTATTATATAATACAAATGGATATACCCTCCATCTACTTGTTTTGAACATCAGTTGTTCTGAACATTTGTGACTGGCATCTAGAGTTTATATTTTGACTTCTGGTCTATAATGGTCCCATGCTGTGCTTATCAATAACAATTATTTTTGTAGGTATAAATGCCTTTGAGAATTTAAAAAAAAAAATATATATATATATATAACTCTTCCAATTAATTGATAAAAAATGTCTTTGGGTTATTGATGATAGCAATAAGAAATAATGTTGAGATTCTTTTTTTTTTTTTTAAACTTAAAAGATTTGTCAAAAAGTAAATTTACTCAGCCTAGTCTTTTCTTTCCTTTGGGACATTTTCCCCACAAAACACTGCATTTCTCATCCATGTTGGAGTCAAGCAGAGTGCAAAGTAATTACCTGATTATGTATTCCTTTGGCCACATGTAGTAAAGTTTCCACCTTCACATGAGAATTAAATATTGGCATGTGGTAACATTTCAATTTCACAACTGAGTTCTGCCTATGGAGATCTAAGTCACAAATCACTCCAGGTTGGGATAGGGAATCCAATTTTAACATTTCCTCTTGAATAATCAGAGTTTACATATTTTTATCCACTGTCAGCTCTGAAAACTTCAGTTTCTATTAATTTCTCTTTTTGAGGCTTATACAACTCTGAGGGAATAAGAACTGTTATTCATTTATAATATTTTTAGTTTCTATTCTTTCTAATGAACATTTTGAATGTCTTATGCACAATTTAATTTTGTGCTAAGATCAACTTAGGAGTTCATTTTTTAAAAAAGCTTTTCTACTTCTAGAAAATAAAGAAAAGCTAGGCAGTGTTAATAAAAATATATACAAATTTCAGCTTGTAAAAAAGTCCCAAAAGAAAGAAAAGATTGGGTTGAGTAAGCATCACCAGAAAGTTCAGGATTAGCATTTTAGTTTTCTTAGCAAGCTATAGAAATGGTAAGCAAAAATACAACAGAATTTAATAAAAATATGATGAATTATACAAAAACAAATGATTTTATTGACACCTGACCTCAGGGTCAAATGCTTAAAACATTTTGTGACCAGCAAGCATTTTGCTCTAAATGGCTGCATCCTATTAAATTGCTGAAAGTAATGGTGGGCATTTCCAGCAATCTGACTTAATATGTGGGATTATCTCATTTGGACTACATGGACAACTTGGACAAGTAGTGTAGGCATTACCCCAATGATATGTAGACTATTTCTAATTCAATAATAACATCACATTGAGATTTGTCATTTTAGTTATGATTACAAGTTTTACAGTGCAACTGTTTAATTCATTCTTTGATTTATAGCTATAATTTAGGATCCTTAACTATATTAAGGTACTATCCCATTATTCTCTAACAAAGGAGAAAGTTAACACCAGAAACATTCCTTATTTTATTTTGACCACATCTCCACTTGCTATATTATCTGTATACTGCTATAACCTTTATGGCAATGTTCAAAGAAAAGTGTGAAACTCACTCAATGAAGTAAACTTCACCCTTCTCTGTATAGGCCATTTCCCAGTTATCAGGCAATGGGTCTGATTCCTCATTCTCTTCAGGTTTAGTTGGTTTTGCATCATCCATCTGCTCCTTCAGCTCCTCGGGCTGACTGTACACTGGTGCAGGATAAGGCTGGGAGGGTGTCTCCCCTGAGGCACCTGCACTCTTGTCTTCATGTTCACTGGATTCTGCAAAAGAACAAGAGCATGTGGTGAGTGTCTCTAGCCACAGTAACTTCTGAATGAGTGTGGGAGTTTGCTGGACCAGGGAATAAGCTCTGCGAAGGCTAATAGGAAAAACATAATTGTAAAGAGCTCTGAAAATTATCATTAGGCCTATTTGAGTTCCCCTTTCATGCATCATTCTTGTCTATCCTTCAGCTAACTATTGCTGAATTGGAGGATCATTTCACAACACAGGTGTGGTAAGCAGAATAATGATCCCCTAAGATAATCCATGCCCTGCTCCCTGGACCATGTGAATGCTACCTTACATGGCAAAAGACGATTTGCAGGTCTGATTAAATTAAATATTTAATTTGAGATTGGGATATTATCTTTGATGATTCAGGTGGGCTCAATGTAATCACAAGGGTTTTTAAAAGTGTAAAAGGAACACAAAAGAGGAGGGTGAGAGAGAGAGAGAGATGTGACTACTACTAAGGAATAGCCAAAGAGATGCACTGTTGCAGGCTTTGGACATAGAAGAAGGGGACAAACTACACACCAGGAAATGTGAGTGTCCTCTAGAAGCAGGCAAGGCAAGGGGATGGATTCTCCCCTAGAGCCTCCAGAAAGAAACAGTTCGCTGACACCTTGATTTTAGCCCAGTGAGACCCATGTCAGACTTCTAACCTACAGAACTATAAGATGATAAATTTGCATTGTTTTAAGCCATTAAGTTTGTGGTAATTTGCTACAGCAGCAATACAAAAGTAACATAACAGAGCAAAAACTAAAAGATATACATGCCTTAAGAGAAATGATAACAGAGTTGGCAGACAGAACCAAGAGTCCCAACATGTAAATAGTACTCCAGAATGAGGAAGAGGAACTCATGGTGAAGAAATAATAACAATAAAAAAATCGAAGAAAATTTAACGAAAGTGAAGAAATACTTCAGTCTGCAGATTGAAATGGTTCACTGAATCTGAGGTCAGATTAATGAAGCACACCTAGGTGAAATTTCCAAACTCTAATGTTTAAAAAGCAACTTTAGCAGCTTCTACATGAAAGAAACATTATTATTTACAAAGAAAAGAGGAGCAGAAGAACATCAGACCTTTCATCTGTGATACACTAAGCTCAAAGACAATAGTACAGTAACATCTGTAGTAACACTAGAAAAAAAATACAGCAACCTGAGAACTTAACTTTGCCAAAATATTATTCTTCTTTCTAGGCAAAAGAAAGTTACTTTTAAAGATGCAGAAGTTCTGATTGCATAGTACCCACATATCTTACCTGAGGACAACACTTGAGGAATTAGTCTAACCACATCATGGTGATTCAATCAGAGCAGAGATTTCAAAATATGGAGAGAAATGGAGAAAATAATAATTAAGAAGAAATAAATCATGCAAAATAGAGTTAAATGTAAATGGAGGATGGTTACATTTCTGGAAATTTGTTGTATGTGTTGAAGATAGGTTCTTGAAGAGAAGAAAAATATCATATGAAAAACCTATTACCAGCATGGGTTTAAAACCTTATATTGGGAAAATTCTGGATCTAGAGGATGGAGAAAACTTAGAGAAATACATTCTAAAGGAGGCACATTAGAGAGTGGGTAAACAAGATCATTTTAAAGGCTATTTATTCATGGGTTGGGATTATTGGGCAAGTATTTTTGTCAAGGAGTAGACTTCATTGCATAATGGGGATATTTTTTAAATACCCCTTAATGTATATTCTCTCTGAGCTATTCAAGTTTTTTTTTTCCTTCCTATTTAGCTTTTCTACCAATAAAGACAGACCATGGACCTAATTTGTCAAGGAAGAGCAGAGCAGTTACCAAGTAGAAAAAAATCCAAACATTCTTGGGGGTAAATAAGAAGATATAATATAGAGGAATTTCCTGCAAGGTAAGATGGTATCTGGGAGAGAAATTCAAAGAAGGAATGTTTAGACTTAAGAAACTGCCTGTTTCATTCAGGGATTCAGCACCACTATCTTTAGGTATTTGTCTGGGGCGTGGCATGGTGGTGGTAAGAAGAGGGAAACCACAGAAGGGGTCAACGGAGACAAAAGGTGAGAAGCCTTGTGAATACCTTAAGTTTAGAACTTTGAGAGGAATGTTTCCTAAAGAGTGGCTTCCAATCTGCACTGGGGGGAAGGGCGGGTCAGAGCAGAGAGTTTATGAAGTGAAAACATTTGGCAAATACAATTCCTAGACTTTCCTGTGGTGTAGACATCATCCAGAGGTCCAAATATGCTCTGGTGGAAAATTTGGAAAGTAGCTGAGAGTAGGGGATCAATCAGCCTTCAGTGAGGGTCACTACGGCTTCCTAATAGCAGAAGGTGTGGTGGAGACAGCTTACACCAGATACTGGAAGGAGAGCACGACTGACATATAATGTCAATGTAAGGATAAGACAGCCATCTAGAAAATGTGAAATTCTACAACCATTTGGGAATATAATCAATAGTTATTAATATTAAAAAGTACACACATGCAAATAAATACACATATGCTTTGACTCCATAATCCCTCTTAGAGAATACATCCTCTAGAAATAAAGGTGGTGGTTTGTAAGGATACCTATATAATAATATTCACTACAGCATTGTTTGTAGTAGCAAAACACTGAAAATGATTTGAATGCCTATCAGTGAGAATATGATTAAATAAACTGTGGCTATTATAACCATGGAAATCTATATAGTGTAAAAACAATGAGTTAGATCTGTATCTATTGACCTGGAAAAGATGCCAACTATCAATATTCAAAGAGTAATCTAAGTTGCAGAGTAATACATATTAATTCTATTTTTTAATAAGCAAACACCAAGTTAGATATATGCATATAATTTTGTATATAACTATATGAGTATGAAAACAGAATGGAGGGATCTACAACAGATTTTCAAGTTTGATTACCTAAGGAGAGTAAATTTGGATGGGGGAAGGAGAAGTTTTCTTTACATATCTTTGCATTGATTGGCTATCTATTATTTTTATAACTTCAAAAATTAATCAAGATAATTTAAAATGAGTAAATTAAAGTAGAATGTCATCTTTGTCTCAATCAACTGCCAGATAAAATTCCCCCCCCATGCATCAATCTCAGAAAGCAATATTAAAGTGTTTTTATAGAATAGGAAATACAAGAACACTTTATAATCTTCTCTTAAAATGAAGACTTTATGAAAATAATATGGCCCTTAGTGATGTAGTCTCCTAACTGAGTTCTCATAGATTTGACCTTTGCAAACTATAGGAAAGAAGCAGCAAAAGAAGGTACAATTGCTCCCTTTAAATTATCTTTGTTGGGGGCCGGCCGAGTGCCGTGATGGTTAAGAGCTGGCGTGGGACACCAGAGGGCCCCGGTTCAGATCCCACACATGAGGGCCAGTGACACTGCCCTCTACAGCTAAGATGCTGAACAACAGCTCGACCTGGAGCTTGGGCTGCTGTGAGTTGATGGAGACAGCGTAGGCTGCAGCCCCTGCTGCAGTGGGTTGCCGTAAGCTACCATGTGTAGCCAGCAGCCAGCGTGAGTGGCCAGCAGCTGCTGTGAGCGGCCATCCAGAAGCTGGCGACTGATCTGCCTCTCCCGGGAAGAGCGCAATGATGGTGCCAAATTGGGCCGTGAAGCAACGTCCTCCACAACTAGACTGAAGAACAAAACAACAGCAACTTATCGGTTCCCCTTCCCCCAATTCTCCACTGTTGTTTCCATCCCCCCAATTCCCCAATAAAAATCTTTAAAAAAAATAATAAAATAAAATAATAAATTATCTTTGTTGTACCTTCTTATAATATGCAATTACCAATACACGAAACACACTGTTCTCAGGTATTTCCAAATGTCATGTTACATTTGAAAAGTTAAAATGGAAGGTCATGCTCTGAACATATTCATTTATTCAATATTCACTTAATCAATATTTGTTAAGCCTTCAATTGGTGTCAGGCACTGAGCACAAAAGAGTGAACAAGAAAGGCACCATCCCTGTTCTAAAGGAACTTAAAATATATCAAGATGTGTAGTCTTTAAACAATTTTAAGTGTGATGAACGCTACAAAAGGGAAAGGTGAGATTTTATGCACATGCAGTCACTTAATATCATTTAAAGAGTCAAGGAAAGCCTTTTTTCCAATGTGTTATCAAATCTCAGAATTGAAAAGGGAGTCAAGAGACTTCTTGCAAAGGAAGGTAAAGGAGAAAGAAATAGAAATATAAAAACAAGGACTGGATTAGGCAAGGCCTTGCAAGGCATGCTCAGAATGTGGGACTATCCTGAGAGCAATGAGAAGGTATTAATGTGTCTTAATCAAGAGGATAATACAATCAGATTTTAATTCCCCACAAAGATCATTTTCACTATTCAGGGGTTTCAGAGTGGCAAGCGTAGATATTTACAGACCAGTGGGGAGTCATGTTTATGCTCCAAATGTGAGATGATGGTGTCATGGGGATGGAAAGAAGTAGACTAAAAAAATATTTAGAGTGTAGATTTGATATAATTTTCATAAAAACTGGAAAATAAGGAAAAGTAAGAAGTCCTTCTAAACCCAGTAGGTGGCAATGCTAGCTGTCTGTCCACTGAGATAGGAAACATGAGAGGGGGAGCAGGATCCTGTGGGGAGTGGCAGAGACTGTGGGTGCAGTTTTGGGTACGCTGAGATCCATGACAAATTCACAACGGAGGTGTCATGTCAGAGCATTCTTGGCTGGAGAGAATAAACTTGAAAGGCAACAGAGTATGGCTAGATTGTGTTATAATTTAAGCCAGAGGAGGGAATAAAATTGTCTAGAGTGACAGTGCAGCAAATGGAAACAAGAATTCCTAGAGCAGCTGTCTGAGGAACTTCAACATTTAGCAGCCAGTGAGAGAAGGATCAGGAAATGGCGGCCGGGGACGTAATAGGAAAGCCAGTTGATCTTCATGCCATAAAGGCTAAGCAAAGGGTAATAAGGAAGAAACACTTTACTGTAGCCAAAGCTTCTGAACAGTCCAGCAAG